GCCTTTGTTACTAGAAGCGATGCACTTGTTCCTAATAGCTTCTTGTTGCTAGTAGCTTCTTGTTACTACTAGTAAGGCCTTTGTTACTAGAAGCGATGCACTTGTTCCTAATAGCTTCTTGTTGCTAGTAGCTTCTTGTTACTACTAGTAAGGCCTTTGTTACTAGAAGCGATGCACTTGTTCCTAATAGCTTCTTGTTCCTAGTAGCTTCTTGTTACTACTAGTAAGGCCTTTGTTACTAGAAGCGATGCACTTGTTCCTAATAGCTTCTTGTTCCTAGTAGCTTCTTGTTACTACTAGTAAGGCCTTTGTTACTAGAAGCGATGCACTTGTTCCTAATAGCTTCTTGTTCCTAGTAGCTTCTTGTTACTACTAGTAAGGCACTTGTTACTAGAAGCGATGCACTTGTTCCTAATAGCTTGTTGTTCCTAGTAGCTTCTTGTTACTACTAGTATGGCACTTGTTACTAGAAGCGATGCACTTGTTCCTAGTAGCTTCTTGATACATAAAGCTCTCCAAGCCGTGCTGCCTCATAGTCTGTCTTGACTTTGGCCATCTTAGTCAATATGCAGGCGTCAGTTGTACGAGCCACTGGTACCTCAAAGCTAGCACAATGTTTGGCACTCGTTTGGACAATGGCTGAACCTGGTTCTTTTCTGAAATTGCAAGTCCCTAGAAAAGGAACGGTACAAAGCAGTTAAAAGACACAAATATGAAAAAAAAGGAGATGCAAAACTTTTAGGGGGCCTTACCTTCCTTTTGCCCAGCCTGTGGTATCAACAGGGAGCCTGAAGCTCCACGCAGCAGTTCCCAGTGAACATTCTCAAAGGACAAGGCCATGCTGTCAAAAGTACCTCCACATAGCTGCATCTTTGACAGCAACAACCGAGGCATCTGTCTACACATTATGCGCCTGTTTTGCCCTCAGCTGTGTCCGCAGCACTGATGATTAAGGCTTCTTTCGCCAAGTTCTCAAGCATTGCCCTGTTCTGCTGGATCAACTGCCACAGGATGGCCCTGGCAGCATCTTTAGAATCTTCAGAACACTTCCCTCTGTTTTTCAGGTTGGGCTCAAACCGGTCCTGTTAAGCCCTGCTGCAGTGGCTGCTGCGACATAGAGGACTCCCACCTGCCACGGTGTTGGTGTTTTGATCTTCAAGCTACTAGCGATGGCCTCCAACCTAATAGCGCACCCTGCCTGTTGAAGGTGAGTATCAAGCAGAGAGCTTTGGCTGATGATCTTATCCACCATAGAACCCGAGAGCGATAGCATGCCTCTTTCCACATCACTCTTGAAGGTCAACCATTCGTCATAGACAGTCTTCATCAGATCCACAAGCCTGGAAAACCCACAAGCTTACACGGAAACACATTGAGAAAAGGCTGACATGGGGGAGGAAAGATCGCACACCGGACGAAAAGAAAGAACGTCTTGCAAACGCAAATCTTCGAGTCCTGGACATAATTTTGTTCCAAGTATGACCCAGTCCGAGTGGCTCTTGAGTGGGTGCCACTGGCACCGACTCCACATAGGAACCTGCGAGGTGAGAACGAACGAAAACAAGAATGTGTTCGTTTTTTGAGCCGGTGGCCCTGCCTCCTTACTTAATTAACTAGGTGCCTACTTAATTAAATAAGGGAGAGTAAACACGCTACTGGGAGAAGAGTTCGCTCTTAGCTAGGATGCAGGATAGCTCGCACTAATGATTTAGTTCCTAGACTTTTAGGCTTTAGGTAAACTTAACTAAAAAAACAATGAGCTCTACCACTGTCCTGTTCGGACACAATACGTGGCCATTTGGACAGAAAACATTTTACTGAGGCCAGAAAATGACCACCCCAAAGATATGGAACATTATAATGGACATCCAGGATCATCCCGGTAATGTTCTGAAGAAGACACGCAACTCAACGACCCGTGAGACCAGGCCACCATAGGACTTGGAACAACGACGCTACTAGGGGCTCCTGGCTTACTACTAGGAGCAAGGACGATACTAGGGCTCCTGGCCTTACTACTAGGAGCAAGGACGCTACTAGGAGCAAGAACGCTACTAGGGACTCCTGGCCTTGCTACTAGAAGCAAGGACGCTACTAGGGGCTCCTGGCCTTGCTACTAGGAGCAAGG